ACCCTCCCACCGGAGCCAACACCTTTGGACAAGATTAATTAAGTCACTGACTTTCACCACCACCACCATTGGACAGGATCAAATTTAAGGTCACTGACACTTCATTTTGTGCCTCCCCCTCTGCCCCCTGCACACTCCCCTTAACACCATTGGGCAGGATTCATTGTAATGTCATTGACTCTGTTTCATGTCCCCACCTCCACTACCATTGAAAAGGATCAAATTTCAGGTCACTGGCACTATCTTTCATACCCCCTCACCACCACCACCACCATAGGACAGCTCCCTGGCTGTTGGATGCTTCACCAACACAAGCACCACTACTTTTGGACAGAAGTCTATGCTTACACTGCGTGTTGGGTATTCTTTGTCTGCATAAGAGTGACCTTAGACTCAGGGTTCAGTATATTAAATCATTATTTCCTGATATATATGTGTAAAGTATTGCTTGCTTTAACTGTTTCCATGAAACATTTTATTTTTTGGCATGTGTAAACGAACTAAAAGGCAGAATGTTCTCTGAGGAAAGGTAAAGATGTAACTGGAAACCACTCCTTTGGTCTGACTGGACTGGTTTTCTCACTGAATAAGATTATTGGTGTGTAGCTATTGCACTTTTGAGCTTTCATTGGTTATTTATGCACCCAATTCTTTGCTTAATAACTGCATCCCTACTCTGAACTTAAAGAACAGTAATACATACACGCAGACACATCCAGTGGTCTTCCCACGCTTCTAGATGTTCAAGTCATCTTGGTGGTGATATGATACATAGACTATCGGGTCTTTTCTATTCAAACCAAAGCCTAAAAGACATACCTCTTTAACCAAGAGCTTTGCCAGCAGAGCTAAGCAATTCCATCCATGTGCTTGGGCAGACAAAAAGACCTGTGGCCTGTGATTCTCCAGTGACTTTCTCAGGTGCTACCTGGAGGCAGAGTAGTTGGTGGCAATTGTGGTAGTCGCAAGCAGGAAGAAGTTGAATGTTGGTGGAGAGGGAGGTCTTTCCAACCTAAGCTGCAAATGCTGCTGATCTTTATGAGCTTGAAAATCACTCGTTTCACGAATTCCTTTTCCACTGAACAAAATGCTACTTTAATTCCATGTATTCTGTTGATTTACTTCAACTGTCATGTGCCTAGTTTTATTAATGATTGTCCAAAAGGTGGCAAGTCTTAGAAGTTGGGGACAGTATGAAACAGCCTGATAGAATAGAAATTGTGCTGGTCCAGCACTCAAATGACCCAGTCATAAGCTTGGTTCTATCATTAACTAGCTGTGTGATCCTAAACAAGTCATTTACACTTTGTCTCAGTTATTTCTTATGTCAAATGGAGATACTTGATTTCTCTCCCTGGCATTTGTGACAATCAAATGAAATAAATCATATCTAATATAACACAAGATATTCTTGTACCTCTTTATATAGCCATACATATATTTTTAGCTAATAGTTTTGTGTTAATTGGCAAAATCCAGAAGCTAAATCAGTGGGTTGATTTCACTGCAGGTTGTAGTTATAAGAGATGGATCTTGAGATACAAATAGATTTTGATGAACTTTCTTCAGTTCCTGTATATACCAAGGTCTTGCCCAGGCCCTGTTCCCAGTGGCTCTCAAAGTGAGATCCCTGAATCAGCAGCAGGAGTGTCACCTGGTATCTTGTTCGACAGCAAACTCTTGGACCCCATCCCAAACCTACTGAATCAGAAACTCTGGGAGTGGGGCCTGGCAATCTGTGTTTTAATAAGCTATGGGGGTTTTAAAGATATGGCCACAAATTCTCTGATATTCCTCCCAGCAAGAGAGGGAGCTTAATCTCCTCCCCTTGACTGTGGGCTAGATTTAGTAGTACTCGCTTCTAACAGATAGAGGATGGCCAGAGTGAAGAGATCACACTTCAAAAATTAGGCTATAAAACAACTTTGGCCCTACAAAATACCTGACCAGTATTCCTCAAAACTATCAAGGTCATTAAAAACAATAAAAATTTGAAAAACTGTCACAGCCAAGAGAAGCCTAAGGAGACAAGACAACTAAATATATTGTGCTATCCTGGATGGGGACCTGGAACAGACATGAGGACATCGGTGAAAACTAAGGAATTCTGAGTGAAGGATGGACTTTAGACAAAATTTGTTCAATAATAATTTATCAACATTTGCTCATGAATTGTAACAAATGTACTATGCCAATGAAAGTATGAGAACTTGTGTACTATCTTCTCAATTTTCCTGTAAGTCTGTGTTCTAAAAAATAAAGTCAATTATACATTACAGTATTGTTAACTATAGTCATGTTGCAAGTTACATCCCCAGAACTTATTTATCTTATAACTGGGAGGTTTGAAAGTTGCTAAGAGAGCAGATCTTAAAAGTTCTCATCACAAGGAAAAAAATATTTAACTATGTGAGTTGATGGATATTAACTAAATTTATTGTGGTAATAATTTTGCAGTATATACATATATCAAATCATTATGTTGTACACCTTAAACATACAATGTCATATGTCAATTATATCTCAATAAAACTGGAAGAAAGCAGTACCTTTTGGTTACAAAATATAAAATGAAATATATTCAAATAATATAATGAAAATATATGATAGCAATAAAAATATCTTATAACCATAGAATAACTATTGAACATTTAAAGGACATGTATTACAAAAATAATAATAAAGTCAACGTTTTTAAAAAGACTGTGGCTTCCATCTTGGGGATTTTCTCTCCCCCCCTCTCTCTCTATCTCTCCCTCCCTCTCTGGCAGAAGCCATGTGCCATGCTGTGAGGCAGCCCTGTGGAGCAGCTCACAAGAGTGAGCTTGGAAGCAGGTCCTTTGGGAAGCAGATCCCTCCCCTGTCCGGCACCTTGACTGTAATCTCCTGAGAGATCCTCAGCAACAAGCACTGAGCTAAGCGGCTCCCAGCCTCCTGATCCACAGAAACTCTCAGAGTTTGTTGTAATGAATGTTTGTTGTTTCCAGCTGCTAAGTTTTGGGGTAATTTCTTCTGTGGTAATAGTTAACACACCTACAAGCCCTCCGTGTGATTCTGAGGCATGCTCAAGCGTGAAACCCGCTGTCCTACCCTATGCACTCTAATCCAGCTTCCTATTCCTTCTTGCTAATGCCTCACGACCTCAGCACAGTCCGCATTTAGACATCCGGGTAGGCCTCCCCTGACCAGAAAGCCAATTCATTCCCCTCGCTATGTGGTTTCCTGATTCACTGTGCTTCCCACTGTAACGCTCAAAACACTTTGCTATAAGTTGATGAATGCCTAACTTTGGTACTAAACGTAAGCCCTATGACCACTTGGCCCAAGTCTGGCTTTGTCCCCAGTATCCAGCATGAGTACCAGCCAGTATTTAGGTTCACAATATTTACTAAATAAATTAAAACCAACAACCATAACAACAAAACCTACCCCAAACTTCATTCCTTCCCATCAGCTCTCAAAGGAGAACAAAGGCAAGGGTAGTAGTATTCTGGGCAATTCAAGCAATAATGAAAAGTTTATTAAATCATAATTTGATAAAGCCAAAAGCCCAAATTCAAAGTGGAGTGGCACATATGAGGGGGGAAAATAACCACTGATTATCTCTTCATCACTGGCTAGTGGGTCTTGTTGTAAATTGCCTCCACTAGTATTTGACTTTATGAAATCCTTGTCACCCTGTCTTTTCCTCCTCTTCCTTCTGTCTTCATTCTCAGCTCCCTTTTTTTTTTTAAAGATTTTTATTGGGGAATTGGGGGGATGGGAACAGTGCTGGGGAATTGGGGGAAGGGGAACAGACAAGTTGCTGTTGTTTTATTCTTCAGTCTAGTTGTGGAGGACGTTGCTTCACTGGCCCAAGTTGGCACCAGTTGCCAGCTTCTGGACGGCCGCTCACTGTGGCTGCTGGCCACTCACGCTGGCTGCTGGCTACACACGGTAGCCCATGGCAACCCACTGCCACAGGGGCTGCAGCCTACGCCGTCGCTGACGACTCACAGCAGCCCAGCTCCAGGTTGAGCTGTTGTTCAGCACCTTAGCTGTGGAGGGCAGTGTCACTGACCCTCATATGTGGGATCCGAACCGGGGCCCTCTGGCATCCCAAGCCAGTTCTTAACCATCGCGCCACTCAGCTCCCATTTTTGGAGCACCTGCTATGTGCTCTGTGAAAGAACCCATGTTGTCTCTTCACAGTAAATCTGACGGATGAATATTATCCTCATTTTACAGGCGAGTGAACTGAAACACAGAACGTCTGAAATAAAGATCACACAGCTTGTAAATGACAGTCTGGATTCAAATCCAGGTCTCCTGACTCTTGGTTTTATGCTCTTTCATAATACCACCAGCATT